ACGGCGGGAGAGACCTGGGCGCGGGGGCCGGCCGGGCAGAGACGATCGAGGACCTGTCGGAGACTGCCGGGGACGGCCCTGGCCCAGGGTGCTCCAGTGGGGTAGCGTTGGCCCAGGGCGCCGTGAGTTTCTCGCGCTACCGTGGAGCCCCTGGGGCCCTCTGGGCCCCGTGGGTGGCACTCTGGAAGCCATCTGGGCCTCCCTGGGGAAGCTGGGGTCACCCTGGGCCCAGGCCACCTTCGGGACCACCCTGGTGGGCAGGACGACAGCCAGGCAGTTCCCCCTCCTCCCTCCTTGTTGTGCGCCTCCATCCGCGTCCCTCGTCCCTCCTCCATCCTCCTTCTCGTCCCTCATCCTTCGCCTCATTTACCCTCCTCCTCCTCCTCCTCCTCCTCCTCCTCCTCCTCCTTCTGCTCTATCCTCCTATATCCTCCTCATCCTCCTCCTTCTCCTTCTCCTTCTCCTCCACCTCCTTCTCCTGCCTCTCCTTCCCTCCTCCTCCTCCTCCTCCCGTAGCCATTTTGGCTCAAGTCCGTCCCCTCCATGGGATCTCGGACTTGGGCCGAAATGAGTTCCACAGCTGTTTCGCCCAAGGCCCCCTGGCCGAGCGCCGCGCCGCCCGCTGCCAGTGCCCGCGGCTCCACATGCCCATGCTCGGGCACGCGCGGGTGATCCCGACCGTGCTGTTGGTGCTGTCCCTGCCGCTGCTGGCGCTGGCGCAGACGCCACATACTCGATCCGAGGCGGCCCGTCACTTTCGCCGCTGCCGCTTCATGCAGCAGCACGGCCTCCGGCACCCCGTCGGTCCACAAGTTCTGCATCTACATATTCTGCTCCCTGGACCCGCTGCGGCTGCGCGTCCAGCTCCTCTATCTGCTGTTGACGGTCGGGCTGTTGACAGTCCCACGGCGGATGAAGTGCGAGCGGCTCGACATCCTGACATCGCGGCAGTGCTCGCTCACGCCATTGCAGACCTCGCTCGTTGTTTCTGCCTGCATGCAGCTGCTCGCACCCCGCTCGGCCCAGTTGGCGTGTGCGACGGGTCGCAAGTCCAGCAGGTCGCAGCGTTCATCCAAGGGCTTCGGACTCCCGCTGAACCTGGCGCTGCGGATGCTGGTGAAGACCCTCATGTTCAAGCTGCTGGCAATGCACAGACTGAACAACGCGCCCAACGTGATGCTGGTGATGACCTCGCCGCTCACGCTGCTGGCAATGCACGTGCTGACCAACATGACCCTGGTGAAATTCGCGCCGCTGCAGCCCAACGTGATGCTGGTGATGACCTCGCCGCTCAAGCTGCTGGCAATGCACATGCTGACCAACGTCGGATGCGTGAAATTCTCGCCGCTGAAGCCCAACGTGATGCTGGTAGTACCCTCGCCGCTCAAGCCGCTGGCACTGCACATGATGACCAACGTGCCTCTGGTGAAGACCTCGCCGCTGACGCCCAACGTGGTGCTGGTGATGACCTCGCCGCTCAAGCTGCTGCCGATGCATATGATGACCAACGTGCTACTGGTGATGTTCTCGCTGCTGATGTCCCTCTGCTCGTTCCTGAGGCCGCTGCAGCCGACGCCGCCCAGTTCGGAAAACCTACCGTCGCCGAGCGCCGCCTGGTCCACCTCCTGGCTGACGCGTGGCAGATCGACGCGCACACGACGTACTCGGAGGCCGAGAAGATCTTGCAGCACGAGCCCCGGTGGGCCCTCGTGGTGGACGTGCGGCGCCGCCTGTTCTTCGACGCGCTCATCCGCCAGCTTGGGCTACATCCCGATCGCGTTTCTGACGCCGCCTCGCGTGGCGTTCTTCCCGGACAAGATCGCCCTGACAACGAAAGTGGGGCCGTTGCTGCTGCCCGCGCCCTTCCTGAGGAAACTCAACATGACTGGGCTGTTCCTGGCGCTCCGTGTCTTCGGCGTTCCGACCTTCTCCAACTTCGTTGCTGCAGCACGGCTCTCGCTGATCTGGCAGAAGATCTGGTGGTTCCCGAAGACGGCCTGCATGACGCTGCTCGCGCCGTCTTGCCGTCTTGCGCGGCTGTCGCTGAACCTCTGCATGATGATGCTCACGCCGCTCGGCCGCCTCGCGTGGCTTATGATGCACATGAGGCCATATGAGGCCCCCGTGGCCGCCCGTCGACGCAGCCCTGCGCCCCCCCCTGGCGCACTCCTCTGTGCCCTTCGTCCCCCGCCCTTCCCACCATCCGTGCGTTTCCCTTGTTCCCGAATGCAGCTCATGACTTACATCCCTCCGCTCACTGTGTATGGCCCCTTGCTGGCGGCCAGAGCGTCGAGCGTACAACGTGCATCCTGAGGTAGGCACAGCGGCAACAGGCAGGGAGCGAAACGAACTTTTGCCCTCTTCTCGCGTCTTGCCCGCTTGCCTTCGTCTCGTCTTTCCTTGAGTACGTTCACTCCTCCTCCTCTTCCTCCTCCTTTTTCCCTCCTCTGTCCCTTGGTGATTCTTCACCTGCAGGGCTCAAACATATTATTTGTCATGGTCTTCCGATTCGAGCGCTTTCAGTTCTTCCAAACTGGTGTTCCCGCTGCAGCGTTGGCCACATTTCCCGATGGTTTTTCTGCCCCCTGCCTTTCTGCATCGCGCCTATCGATCCCCCGCCTGCTTATCAGCCAAATCGGTCTCAGCCCGAAAATATGTTGCGGCTCCTTCTATGACCGCGACCCTCCCGCTGCCGCCGCGGGGTGGTTGAGCGGCGCGCGTTGAGGGTGACGCTCTTCAGGTCAGACCTCATGTGAAGTCTCATGTGGAATCAGAGCATACAGCTGCGCAGTGCTTCGACACATGCTTGCGACGCGCATGTGGCTTACTCGAGGCGCGCAACGTATTGATTCGATGCCTCCGTGGCGGCCACTGAATGGATATGCGAATCTGAAGTTCCGCCACGGCGGAGGACAGTGCGCATGATGGTGCTATGGTGGGCCTCGAGGCAGGGGAGCTGCCCCCAGCTTGAGCCCGTTCTGGGCGGGCTTGGCAAGAGGGCCGCCCTCTTCTCCCAGCGCGCCCGTGCACACTGCCCCGCGCGCAATCCTCGCAACAAAAATATGCCCAAAGAGCTCGTGCCCTGAAGCCCGTATGAAAACGAAAATCCCCCGACGACCGAGTGTGCCCGAACATGTGCGCCATGAGCGCGCCCCCCGCATTCCGGCGCCCGCCGTCGTGGCTTCGGCGCGCGCGGTCTGGTCGCAGCGCCTCCCCTGTTGGAGATCACTGCGCCTTCGCGTTTGGCCAACCGTTTTGGCCACACTGCGATTTTGGTTGCGCTTTCGCTTGTGGAGGACGGTCCATGGAGAGGAGGCGCGTTGCCAAATAGTTTCCAGATGTCTAAAACATGTGCACATGCGGAACACGTGTTCAAAACATGTTTGGAACAAATCTTCTACATTCTAAGCACGTCTTAAGCTCAATGATTGGACTGTTAGAGTGTCCACTGTCGTGGCATCCACAAGCTTTCGCGCGCGCCTTCGCTCACAATGGTGGCGGTCACGCTCCGTTTTTTGCCACAGGTTCTGTGCTATCTTCGGGCACGGCGGTCTCAGGCACACGCTCTGGGCACAGGCTCGGGCACCCCGCTGGGTCGACCCGCCGACGCGCCGGCCTCGCCGAGCCGCTCCTCCGTTCGGGTTGGGGCCCCTCTCGCCGTGCCTCGCTCTCTCTCTCGTCCTCAGGCCGTGGCGCTCGCAGCCGCCGGGGAGGGTGGCGGATCCCCGCCCTCCTCGCTCCTCGGCCACCTCCCGCCCATGCTCCCGGTCGGCATCTCGGGCTAGAGGCCACTCTCGGGGGTCAAGATGCGCACACTCCGGCAGGACATGATCAGAAGTTCGAGCCTCAGGGATCGATAGGGGGCCGCATGCGAACCCCACCCCTGCCCCCCACGATTTCTGAGGGGGAGGGTGGGGTTCACTTCGTTCGGGAGCTCCCGAGCGAAGTGAACCCCACCTTCCCCCTCAGAAATCGTGGGGGGCAGGGGTGGGGTTCGCATGCGGCCTTCAAATCGAGACGCCTGGACTCTGCCCGCCACTGCCTCCGTGCGGCACGTGCAGCAGGTGTGCCCTCCGGCGGGGCAGCCTCGGACCTCGGAGCGGGGCCTGGGCCCGCGGCCGAGGCCAACGCACCCGAGCCGCGCGCGCCGAGGGCACTCCGCGCGAGTGTCCGGCCCGCCGGCGCGCCCCGCGGCGCGGAAGTCCGGGCAGGGATGGCCTGTGCTCGGGCGCGCGCCCGGTCACCCCCGCCCCTTCTGACGGGGGTGGGGCCGCTCGGGAGCCCGAGTCGCTCCTCGTCGCTGCCGCGCCCTGCTTTTCCCCTCCTCCGCGCTCCGCCGCTCCTCCTGCTCCTCCTGCTTCCTGTCCCCGCTCCTCCCTCCTCATCCTCCTCCTCGTCTCTTCCGCCTCGCTGGCCTTTCTCATCCTTTCTCATCTCTCCTCCTCCTCCGCCTCCTCCTCCGCCTCCTCCTCCTGTTTCCTCTTTCATCCATCCTCATCCTCCCTTCCTCCCCTTCCTCCTCCCCACTTCCCCCGCCCGCTGGTACCCGCCAGGCGGTCGTAGACGGAGGCGCCCTCGAGGAAGTCACCCAGCACTTGCTCAGGCTGCGATTGCAGGATCTGGAGGCCGCCCAGAAGCTGGACGAGGGCAGCGTTGCGCTCGCCGACGCGAAGGATTCGGGCGACGCCAATGAGCGAGGCGAGGATCTCCTGAGAGACTTCGAGCTGCACAGGTCGCACAGCTCGCCATCGGTGGCCGGGGACGAGGACGAGGAGACTTCCGACGTCCTGGACAGCTTCGACGTGTCGGACTTTCTGCTGACAGATGATTTTCTGGATGGAGGAAAGCCGAAGAAACGGGTCAAATCCGAAAGGCAGAAGAAGATCGAGGACTTGACAGGAACCCTTGACGAGGTCATCCCACGCCTCGAGGCAGACTTCAAGGTGAAGACGCAGTTATTGAAGGTGGCGCTGGCCAAGTTCAAGGAAAAGCAACATGATATGGATGCGGCGAAGATACAAGCGACCTTGGCCATGAAGGCCCTACGCACAGAGGCGGAGAAGCGCCGCAAGATTGCTTGGAATCGCAGGGCGATCAAGGAGAGGGAGCACAAGGCAAAGGTGGAGGCCCAACGCACCGCCAAGGAGGCGATGATAAAGAAGGCGCAGGCCCTCATGGGCGTGAAGGGCGGGTCGGACGGCACGCTGGGCGACTTTTCGCTGGGCGTCATGGTCGACGTGCTCATGGCGTTGCCGGCGGCATGCGAAAGCCCTGTCTTCAACAAGCGCTTGGCAAAGTCGAAGGAAAGCATTATGCAGTCCACACAAGACTTCATCAACATAACGCGCCGCAAGACCTCGAAATTTATGGTGGTTTCCAGCAAGGCGTCCGACGTGGAGCTGTCGTTCATCCTGGCGCGATTCTTCCACGAGGCCTCCTTCCGTGTCAAGGCGATGGCGGCTGACGCGCAGAAGGTTGCCAGGCTCGCGGCTCGTCATCGTCGCCGTCGTCCTCATCCCCCGAGATGATATGTCGTGTTCCCCACCCGGCAGGTTGGGGTTGTTAGATTTCAAGAACAGGCCCCCCAGCCAACCCCACCCTGCATACCGCGGCCGCCAGATCCCAAGTTGTCCCGGAGTCCCGGGTATCCCGCCTCGCGCCCAGCCAACCCCACCCCGCATACCGAGGGCGCCAGACCCCAAGTTGTCCCGATGATCCCCGTGAGTCCCGGGTGTCCCGCCTCGCGCCCTCGACGAACACGACAGAACACAACATGACAGAAGGGAACAGAGCAGAGCATGGCAGAACATGACAGAACAGAACATATCAAAATCACCACGACAAAGTAGAGCATAACATAATACCACATACCATACCATAACATACTATGACATAGCATAATTCGACATCTCACAAGATAGCATAACATAACCGAGCATACCATAACACACCTTGACATAACATATCATATCATAACACAGCATCACATAACATAACATACCACGACAGCAGAGCGTAGCGACGACGAACACGACGTAATACAACATGACACAGCAGAACACGACAGAACATAACACGAGTACATGACAGACCAGGGCAGAAAGTAGCATAGCAATGCCATGACAACTTGAGCATAACATAACATCGTATAACATGCCATAGCATAACACGTCATAACATAAGACGACAGAAAACAAGATAACATAACCGAGCATAACACAACACACCTTGACATAACAAACCATATACTTACGCAGCATCACATAACAAGTCACAACACGAACGCAGAGCATGGAGACGACGATCACGACATAACAGAACATGCCACATCATAACTTTACATAGCAGGAAACAGGCATGACATAACGTTACATAACATAACATAGCAATGCCATGACAAAGTAGAGCATAAGATAACATCACATGACATACCATAACATAACATGACATAACATGGACATCGCATACCAGATCATGATATACCATAGCATACCAGAGCAGAGCACAACATAACATAACATTACCTATGATACCACCACTCCCATTGATATAGCACATCATACCATGACACAGCGTCACATAACATATCATAACACGACAGCAGAGCATAGCGACACATACTAGCATAGCAGGTCATACACATTATACTGAGCCGAGCCGTCAACACACAGAACGTCACATAACATGCCAGATCAGAAATTGTATACTATAATCGTATATAACACAACATAACATAAACGATCCGAACATAATATAACACACCTCGACATAACATATCATACCATGGCACAGCATTACAGACCATATCATAACACGACAAAAGAGCATAGCGACGACGAACACGACAGAGCACAACATGCCACAACACACCATGACGTACCGTAATACGAGCATGACAGAACATAACAGGAAATAACATAAACAATGTCATGACACAGTAGAGCACAACTGACAATTACATACCAAGCCAGAGCAGAACATGACAGTACAAACGACGACATACCACAGCATAACATAACATAACCAAGCACAAGACAACACACCGTGGCTTAACATAGCACATCATGGCAGCATCACCTATCATACCATAACACGACAACAGCAGAGCGGTACATACTAGCAGAGCGTAACACAATCGACGATACATAGCCGAGCCGTCACATGACAGTACATCACATAACATACCAAATCATAACATGCCATAACAGAAGACGACAGAACACAACAGACAATACAATAACCGAACATACCATAGCACACCAAGGCAGACGATTCCATATCATATCATGAAAACATCGCAGAATATAGCATAGCACGACAGCAAAGCATAGCGAAACATACTAGCAGAGCATATCCGAATGAACTACCTATACGACCACCCTTCGGGTGATAAGGAGGTTGTGGGGGAGGGGCGAGAGGGGGGGACACCACGGGGCACTTGTCGATCTCACTATCGATCTCACTATCGATCTCATTCAACGGGACACCACGTGACACCGCGGGACAACTCTCGATCTCACTATCGGTCTCACTATCGATCTCACTATCGATCTCACTCAACGGGACACCACGGGGTCACCACGGGACACCACATCGATCTCACAAACGATCTCACGATCGATATCACTATCGATCTCACTCAACGGGACACCACGGGACACCTGTCGATCTCAGTATCGATCTCATTTTTTGGGACACCACGGGACACCTCGGGGCACCACATCGATCTCAGTATCGATCTTGCTATCGATCTCACTCAACGTCAACGGGACACCACGGGAAACCACGGGACACCCCAGGGCGCCACATCGATCTCACTATCGATCTCAATCAACGGGACACCACGGACCACCACGGGACACGATTGGACACCGCGGGACATTTCTCGATCTCACTATGGTTCCCACTATCGATCTCACTATCGATGTCACTCAACGGGACAGCTTAGGACGCCATTCACACCTCGGGACAACACACCAGTATCGATCTCACTATCGATCTCACCCAACGGGACAGCACGGGACACCACGGGACACCTGTCGATCTCACTATCGAGCTCACTATCGATTTCACTTTTTGGGACACCACGGGACACCTCGGTGCACCACATCGATCTCAGTATCGATTTCACTATCGATCTCACTATCGCTCGCATTCAACGGGACACCACGGGACACCTGTCGATCAAATTATCGATCTCAGTTTTTGGTACACCACGGGACACCTCGGGGCACCACATCGATCTCAGTATTGGTCTCATGATCGATCTCACTATCGATCTTACTCAACGGGACACCACGGGACACCACGGGACACCACGGGACACCACGGGACACCGCGGGACACCGCGGGACACCGCGAGCCACCGCCTGACGGACGGACGGACGGGCGGGCAGTGGAGAATCATTTGTCTGGACTTCGCCCTAGCAACGGCGGACACTACGGGACACCACGGGACACCACGGGACACCGCGGGACACCGCGAGCCACCGCCGGACGGGCGGGCGGGGGAAAATCATTTGTCTTGACTTGGCCCTAGCAACGGCGGACACCACGGGACACCACGACGGGACACCACGGGACATCACGGGACACCGCGGGACACCGCGAGCCACCGCTGGACGGACGGACGGACGGCGGAGCAACATTTGTCTGGACTTCGCCCTAGCAGCGGCGGGTTCATTCCTCTCGCGCGCCCACGCAGCTTCGCCTCGCCCGCACGCACGCACGACACGAACGAAACGAAACAGTTTCCCGATAGGGGGTCTCCGTTCCACTGCGATCTCACCCCCCAACCTCCGATACTGAGCCGAGCTGTCAACAACATCACGGAACAGAGCATACTAGAGCATAATCTGACATAACATATCATGTCACAATATAGTGCCTCAGAGCAGATCACACAGTAACAGTAGTTCAAAGCACATGGTGACATAGATGAGCATAACATAACACATTTAATCAGAAGGGAAATATAGAAGTGAAAAGGAACATCATAACAGAAGACGCATCTAACGTCACCGGCGTCACGAAGTCACGCCGGCCCATCGAGAACATAACAGGACATACCAGAGCCGAACATCAGAGAACGTGACTGCATGGGACACGGTTACCCCGTTTTTGAATCCGGAAACAGCAGTTGTGTAATGGTGGGAGGAGGAGGACGAAAAATTGGGAGGAGAGGTCCGCCTCACCTCCCTCCTCTTCCTCCTCCCCCCTCGTCGTCCGTCTCCTCCTCTTGCTCCTCCTGCTGATGCTCTTCCTCTCTCAACAGGCTGCGGCCCTCTATGCGTTTCGCTCCGCACGTTTTCGAAAGCTTGCTTGTTCGTCGTTCAATTTCTTTCGTCATTTGGCGACAACGGTTTTTCGTCATTGCTTTCAATTTCTTTCGTCATTTCGTCATTGCTTGGGTTGTCGGATTTGGCGACGACGGAATTCCCCACCCGGCCCGACCGCCGCACCGGCCGAGACCACAGGGCCGCGCAGCGTTCCACCAATTGGGCGACCGCGCGCCGCCAGGAACAAGCATGTGAGGTTTCGGTGGGGATCCCTCGAAGGTGAGATAAGTGTTGCCAATCGGGGGTCTCCCGAGCTCTGGGCCAATCGGTGGGGATCCCTCGAAGGAAATCAGAAGGCGACCCCCCCCCCCCCCCAGTCCATCCCCGAGCCGACGTCGGGACGGGGGGGGGGGGGTTCTCCATTCCTGGACACCGAAAATGGACGTCGGAACTGGGGGTGGGGGTGAGTTTTCGCTTTCTCAGGAAAGATAAATGTTGCCAATCGGGGGTCTCCCGAGCTCTGGGCCGTTTTCCGTTGACCCTGCTTTCGTCCTGGATCGTTGTGTTGACGGTCCCGGGCCTGGCGGGGGCCCGTCGGGCCCCGAAGACGACAAAAGTTTCCCGCTGATTCTTTCCATACGTTGGAGGTCTGGTCCACTTCCTCCTCCGCTTTCTCCTCCTCCTCCTCCTCCTCCTCCTCCTCCTCCTCCTCCTCCTCCTTGTCTTCTTCCTCTTGCCTCTCCAGGGATCTCAACGTCGTGATGCCCAGGGAGCTGAGGCAAGCCTTCATGCCCATCATCAAGGGCATGCTGCATAATGCGGCCCTGAGGGGTGGTATATGAGAGGAGCGGTCGGAGGGGAGGGTAAGGAGAGGACGATGACGAGCAGGAGGAGGAGGAGGAGGAGGAGGAGGAGGAGGAGGAGGAGTGGGAGGAGGAGGAGGAGGAAGAGAAGAGGGAGGACGAGGAGGATGAGGATGAGGAAGGCATCTGGCCTGAGGGCGGGGCAGCAGGGATAGCATTCCTATACCGTACCTGCCTGTGCAGGTCAGTCCTCAGGCGTGCGATCAGATTGCCGCGCCCAGTGCGCTTCTTGTTTTCTTGTCGCGACGGAACATCGGCCAGCCGAGGAGTCTTGGCACAGGCGTGCCAGGCGCTCGCGTTCTTGGGCGAGGGCGTTGGCCTGATTGGGTCGTGCAGCAGGGCTTCTCGAGGCGCACCACTCGGCGCAACCCATGACCTGGAGAAGGATCGGATCCAGGGATGCTGGGCCGAGACCCCCTAGATATTCGCAGTGGCAGACGACAGAGAGACTTGCTGCGCCGTGGCGACCGCAGCAGGCGGGACGAGGCAGAGTGACAAAAGGCAAGTCAGATCAAGTCAGCGCGTTGGCCTGAGTTCGAGGGCTGGGAGACCGAGTCGATGCACCCCCGGTTTGCGAGGTCGCAGAAGCCAACGCAGCCTTTTTTTTGGAAGTGTGCACACTGCAAGTGTGGGAAGAGCGGAGCAGACACGGATGACTGCAAGCATCGTTGTGCAGCCAAGTCTGAGACGGCACCATCTACTTTGGCCATCCAGAACGAGGTAACGCCCCCTCCTCGGCCTCCGTCTGGAATCTTGCGACCGAGATCGGCCACGCCAGGGGCGGGTGCGGAGAAGGGAGGCGAACGAGGAGATGGCAGTGGAGCTCGGGAGCGGTCGGTGTCATCTGCGGATGAAGCAGCTAGGCCAGGAGTGTCCGAAGACCTCAAGCAGCCCATCCAGCGTACAGGGAGAACGGGAGACCGTGGAACAGCAGCCAACTATGTACAAAGAGCAGTTGCGACGATTGCAGTCCAGGAGCGCTGTTCACCAGTTCAGTAGCGTGCGCCAGCTCTCCACAGCCGCATCCAGAAGTTGGAGCAGGTTTTGGACCAAAAGCTTGACAAGCTCGACCGCATCCATCACCTTGTAGGCCACTCTGCAGCGCCAGGCGGTGGCCGACGTGCAGAAGGCGCTCGACGAGGCGGACGCGCAGTACAGAGAGCTGGTGGCTGATCTGGCCAAGCAAGGAGGCGTTCCACTGGCGAAGGGTGGACCATCGCGTCTGCCAGTCTCCAAAGTCGTCGACGGCACCGCCACAGCTGCAGAATTGTTCGATATCGAAGAGTTCCCCGACTTTGAGGAATACACCCTCGCGAAGGAGGATCAGAAGCAGCTGGAGGCAAGGAAGCATGCACTCAAAACCCACGTACAGTCCATCGCTAAGGAGTTGTTGGCTGGTGTTCTTGGTGACATGCAGCGCATTCGTGCAGAGCACATCGAACATGTTCAACGATTGCGTCGGAAGCGTGCCCGTGCCGATCAGCCTGAAGGAGGAGACGAGGTGGTCGAAGTCGGCGACGATGCACGCGAAGCTGGAGGCGCTGCAGCTGGAGCAGGAGCGGGGGGATCTTCTGAAGCAGCGCCCCCACCGAGCACCCAGGCCACTGCCGCCAAAGACCCCGGGGGACCTCAGGGGCCAGGTTCGCCTGGAGCGGGGCGCGCGGACCGAGGTTCCTAGGGGCCCACTCATCAAGGGGCGGCAGAGGCTCTCAGCGGCAGCAGCGGCGCGCCAGCTCGCGCGGCAACCGCTCTGCCATGCGAGTCAGGCGAAGCGCCTGCCAGCAGCGCCAGAGCATCAGCCTCCCCAGCCCCTCCCCCGCGTCTGCGGAGAGGGGCGACCCCCCCTCCCCTCTCGCTGAGTATCCGAGCTACGTCGAGGAGGGTCGTGCAGACGGAGGAGGGGAACTTTCAGCGCGCAGTTAGCAGGCATCCGAGGCCCTGCGCGCAGTGGGCTAGCGGGGGCTGCGGCGCTCTTTAGGGCAGGCCATAATCGGGTATCTCCAGGAGGTCTCTGGGGTTGGCTCTTGGGCGCGAGGCTTGGAAATGGCCCCGGGACCGCGCGCGGCGCCTCGACTGCTCTCGCGAATCCGCCCAGCCCCGACCCGGCAGTCGAACCTCTCCCCGCGCTTATTTTCCAGCCTGCTCCCGCGCAGGCCGCTGCCAAGTCCAGGAAGCGCGCGGCCCGTTTCAAGATCGAAGCGGCGAACGCCACCTCTTGGAAGTCTGTGAAGATATATATATATATAGAGAGAGAGAGAGAGAGAGAGAGAGAGAGAGAGAGAGAGAGAGAGAGAGAGAGAGAGAGAGAGAGAGAGAGAGAGAGAGAGAGAGAGAGAGAGAGAGAGAGAGAGAGTCGAAGACTGACGCGAGTCTGGTCCTGCTCCGGGAGATAGGCGCCGAGGCTAAGGACCGCAAGGGGCCGTGAAGCCTGTGCCAAGAAGATTGGAATCCTTGCATCCACCCCTCCTTCGTCACAGATGCAGGGGGGCCCAGCTCTGGGGTCGGAGTGGCCTCGCTGGCGCATGTGGGGGCGGGCAAAATTCCAGACCAGGCCGGGCCGCTGCGTGCGCCAACGAGGGTGTGTCTTACTTGGGTCAGTGCTTTTATTCCTGGTTGGTTTAATGCTGCGCCAATTTATTTACCTCAAGGGGCTCCTTTGGGCGCCGAAGGCTGGCAAGCTCTCGCCCGACTTGGGGGGGGGCCCTTCGCGCCGCTCAAGGGCCCGCGTTCGCGCTCGCAGGAGATTGGAACGTCGAGCCGAAAGGCTTTCGCGCATTCGGCCAGGCACAGAAGATAGGCGGCGCGATCATTGCGCCGCGGCAGGCCATGCGCCGCTCTGCGGCAAAGAGATGGCGAAATCTGGGTCATTGGTTATTTCAAAAGGGCGGGCTCCTTGCGTCAGCCAGTGCGCGAGGAATGAGCCGGCGACGCTTGCTCTTCACTGGCCAGCTTCACTCGTGCTGCAAGGGGGCCTGATGGAGACCCTGCATTGGGTGTTGCCACGCATGGTGAAGTTCCCCGCGGAGCTCCCTATTGGACCTCGCCTTGGGACCCCCGGTTACCGAGGCCCCCTGCGGCGCCCTCAGGCTAGAGGGGCCCCGGAGGACTTGAATAGCTTTCCTGGACCTCCCGGCCTCGCTCGAGTCCGAGCTATGTGCTGTTCACCAGATTCCCAGCAGTGGTTATGGAGGAAGGACAAGCCAGCGGCAGTTGAGAAACGGGTCAGCGGGTCAGGTCGTTGGCTACATCTGGAGGGCCTTTCCCTGTTGCGCGCCCTGAAAGCAGTGCTTGGAGGGCGGTGGCGATTTGGTTCCAGGAGCTCCACCATATCAAGGCAAAGGCAGGCTCATGGAGCTCCACCGAGACTCACGACCTGGTCAAGAAGATCCTTGAGGGCCCTAGACACCTTGGGAGGCATCCTGATTGGCTCAGTTGGAAACCGTGCTTATTTAGCGACCTGCTCCATTGCACCGAAGCATCTCTTCTTGCGAGGTAGCGCGAAGCAGGGCTTTGGGCCGAAATGCAAGAGACGAAATGTTCAAGTAGGAGAGCTGCTCATCGGAGAGACTGGGTAGCTGAAGCGGTCGAGGGGGGGCGGGCCAAGCTCGCCCATGCACCGAGATTCCATTTGGGTGGAACCCTCACCAACTCATCAGGCCAGGCCGCCCCCCCCCCTTTCCCCTGGACCCAGCGAGTTGATTCAGGAACAGGAAGATCTCTGGGCGAGAATCTGGAGACTCAGGATAGAGGCTGTCCACTTCCCAGATGCCATCGCAGAGCTGGGTAAGCATATCAGCCTGCAAGAGCACGACGGGCGGGCAGGACATTTTCCCGCCTGTTGCGTCGGCCGCTGACATCAGACGAGCGGCAGGCAAGTTCAAGAGGAGGATTGGGCTTGGTCAGACTCCATCCATCCTCGCGACCTAGGCCCGGTCTGCGACGAGGCGCTCGCTGTCGTGGGATTGCCCTGACATTGGGCTGAACGTCTTGGGCATTTACCATCGCGGTTGGCGTTGCATCTTATAGTGTTGTTACCTCGTCCAGATAAAGGGTGGAGACCCGTTGGGCTTCTCCCTGGTATCTGCCGGATCTTCGGCAAGCTAAATCGTGCTGAGGCTGATATGTGGGAAGCCCGTGTCGTTCGCGATTTTCACGGTGGGTCCCGAGGGGGAAGCTGAGAACGAGCCGTTTGGGAGCTTCCCATGTCTGGGGAGTTATTAAATCTGAAGGGGGGTCCGTCGGTTGCGGCATTGATTGGCACCGCCAAGGCGCATGAAACACATGTTTTTTTATTAGTTAGTTCAGGCTGCTGCTCGCCGCGAGTTCCCTCTGGTTCGGCGTCGCATTCTCCTCCGCCAATGCAGGGCAGCCAATCTACTGCAGATTGGCAGCGCTGTTTCGAATGTCATCCAAGTGCGGCAGGGAATCGTCGCTGGCCGTTCGTTCGCAGCGCCCCTGAGGAGGCTGATCCTTTTGACTCCTTGCGATGCGGCTCGACTGCGCTGGCCGAGCGCCCGGTTGTTCAATGTGCTCGGTGACCTTGCGCTTTCTGGTTCGCTCGGTGCGGATAAGCTGGGGGGGTGCTCATCGGCAGCGCAGCGTCTTTCATCTGCCAGCAGTGGGATCATTTGCAGATGGTTGCGTCGGAGGAGAAGGGGCCGATCACTGCATCGATCCCCGAGGTGTCCGAGGCCATCCGGAAACGTTTTCGCGCGTGGCATTTCCGTATCATGGCGTCGGGGGAGAATGGCGATCGACCAGGGCCCATCTAGAGGCAAGAGGACCACCGTAGTTCAAAAAGGTCGTTTAGCCAAGCTACGGCCGCGCGTCTGTTTCGTATCAGAGGTTTTTGGAGCAGTCTCCAGAGGGGCCGCAAAGGTCACCGAAGTGGGGGCTCTCCCATCGGCGCTCCACGTGGCTCCGGTCGCCCAGCTCCCCAACAAAAAGTTGATTCCGCTATGGGCCACGATGGCCCGGGCTGCATCCGGGGCGCCCAAAGGACAGCCCCGTGCTCTGGAGTTCCTTCTGGGTCCTGATCCAGGAGCTGACCGCGCAGCGAATGCAGGCCCCATCGTCGCGTGGATCGTGGCTATCCAGCAGGGGCGGGCACCGCTGCTGCAGTTCAAGGAGCGCTGCGAATATGTTTTGACCATCCATGACCGAGGACGGCAGCATGTCCAAGGACCCGCAAGAGCGGTGGTTTGCACATTGGACAGGCTCAGATGGACTATCTATTCCTGGTTTTCTTGGGAGACGGATCGTGGGCTTCCTGTCAAGCCTCGCCATCGTCGACAATGAAACTTCGAGAGTGTCATTCAGCACAGTACCCGACGTGGCCTCAACAGGAATCTAAGGGGGCCCCAATGCAAAGTCGAAGATTTGTTTGGCGCGCCCTGCTTGGAGCCTTTTATCGCACTCAGTCGGGAGAAGAGGGCGAACGGCCGAGAGGACTCTGCGGGGCGACTTGCGACTGCAGTTGCAGGGGGCTTTGCCGCGCAGTATCAGTTTTCTGCAGACCAGAGAGCCATCGCCAGTGGCGCCGCCAAGAACCTGGCACAAGAGCCCACAGGTACTTTGAGCGTGATGCACAGCGGTTATTCTCGAGTCACCTGGACCTCGACGACTCTCTGGGTGAAGCGCGTCATGCTAGCGATAATAATCCAGGCTACACAGAATGTCCGTACGCAAGTCCAGAGTGGAGCTGGCCCGCGCCACATCTCGACGCCGAGCCGAAGTTGTCGTGCCCCCCGCTAAGCGGAAGGCTCGACGCAGGCAATGTGCGCATCGGCGGCTCGGGCCTGGATCAGCAGCGCAGCACTTTCGCGAGGACATGCTATTATGTTGCGGGGTTGGATGTGGGAGGGCATATCATTGGGAGTATGTGCGGACCAGTGCCACATTTGCTGCAGCTTGCAGGGTGCGGCGAATTATACGCACTCCTCGGTGCCCTTCGCCATCTGGGAGCTACCCCAAAGGTGGTCGCCACAGATTGTAAGATGGTGCTAGATGTTGGGAATGCTGGACCTGCTTTGGACTTGACTATCACGTGTTTTCGGAACTGTGGCACGACATCTTCCGGGTAATTGAGGACATAGGTATTCATAATGCAAGTCTTGTCAGAGTGAAGTCGCAACTCAGCCGAACGTCGGCTGTTGATGCAGGCGTGGAGTATTGGGCGTGGTTTGGCAGCCGCGAAGTTGACCGTCTCGTTAAGGAGGGAGCTCGTGCATATGCTAACTACCCGTATGTCCGCACCCACTATGACAAGGATCGAAGCTAAAGTTCGGCAGTCGGCGATCGTGATTTCGGGGGTTTTCGACCGCCTGGCCAAGTTGAATATTCCAGACGTCCCGGAATATCGTAAGCCCGTACGTGCCAAAGCAGCCCTGCTTGAATCGATTCCGGGCCCGCTTGGCCACCAGGTAACAAGAGTAGGCAACGGTTTCACGCGCAGCAGGGGTGGGGACAGTGGGCCTCCCCGAAAAGCGACTTGCTGTTTTCCTTGTTCTGGCATCCTCAGGGCCGCTCGGACCTCTCACCCGTCCCACTCCCTGTGGGGTTGGGGGGTGGGAACATTACTTGGTGCTCTCGGTGCGGTGTTTTCGGCAGTGTGCGTTCCCGTCTCCTTAAGAAACGTTGCACCAGAGGCCCGCGTAACAAGGATGATGGCACTAGTCTGACCCTGCTCAACCAGGGGATTCACCCTCCCAGCAAGAAGTTTTTCGGCCAGGGTTTCCTTGTGCACATGCTCCTGGCCGAGGCACCGCCGCCGCCCGAGGCTGCCGTGCCCGCAGGAGCAGGAGCTTTAAACTCGTTTGGTTTCTTTCTCTTTGTTGCGGGAGTGTCATTACTGTCGTGTACAGGCGGTGGCCCTCTCCGAACGCCGAAGGACGAGGAGGATGAGGAGGCGATGGAAAGAAATTGAAGGAGCAGCAGGAGGAGGGGGAGTGGGTGTAGGAGGCGAAGAAGGGGGAGGAGGAGGATGAGGAGGCGATGGGAAGAAATTGAAGGAGCAGCAGGAGGAGGGAGAGTGGGTGTAGGAGGCGAAGAAGGGGGGGAGGAGGAAGAGGAGGAGGAGGAGGAGGAGGAGGAGGAGGAGAAGGAAGAGAGGGAGGGAGAGGAGGGGAGGTCCCACTGCGCGTGAACGCCTCCGCTCTTGCGGGTTCGACTCTTGAAAGCGCATGCAGCGAGATCGCTGGCATCATGGCCAACGTCACCGACTACGCCAACAAACTTAATTCCATGCACACCAGCATGCACAACATCTGGCAGCTTTCCGAGTTGATGTTGCCGAAGGTGGACAAGATATATCCCATGAAGCCCATCGTCATCGAGACCGTCAAAGACTTCATGGCAATGGCGACCAACCAGATCGCCGGACTTTCCGAGGCTTCGGAGGAGATTGTGACCAACATCGGCCCTATCATTTCCGAGCGCATGCAGTGCACGTGGAATGCTGCGCTCCCGCGCTCTCGCGTGAGCTGGGTAGCTTTGTTGGCGGCGCTCGCCTGCTACCTTTTCGTTTAGGCATTATCAGATTGGCGGGTTCCTGCTCCTCCCTGCTCCTCCTCCACCTACATCCTGCTGCTCCTGCTCGTCCTCATCGTCCTCACCCTCAGCGTCAGTCATATTCCTGCTCCTGCTCATCATTATGTAACCGCTTCTCTCTCTCTCCTCGTTCGACCCTCTGCAAGAGGCGTTACCCCAAGAGGAAATAGGTCATGGCCGACGGCGTTTCCATACAATCGAAAACTCTGCAGTGCATGTCAGACTATGCGAGCAAACATCATAATCCTACCGTTCATCCTCGTCATCCTAATCTTCTTTGGTCAGGTGTCAGTTTGAGGTCGTGCCTTTCGGCTTCTGTTCCTTTTCGTAAGGATGTCAAAATCGATTGCCCCGAAGTCATTTACATCACTCGTGGTCTCGCAAACGGAATGTTCAAGAATGGTCTGCGCTCGCGCTCTTGCAACTCGTTGAGAGAAGCGTTGGTTTTTCAACAGGTTCATCACCTGCTACCAGACATGCTTGTCGCGTGCGCGTGTCGAAATTATTCGAACGCCCTTGCGCGCGTGCTTTCGCAACAATCCCTTGCAAAATATTGAATGAAGTGCGCACGCCCTCGTCGTCGCGCGAGCATGCCGACATCCCGTTTATAGTTTAAAATCGCGTTAGGTCTCGTAAGGGCGCCCCGAAACATAGAGAAATACGGTACATCGACAAAATGTTGCACCACCTGGTGCCCAAGACAGCGGACACCGTTTTAAAATAGACGCTTACGTCTGAGTCTCCCCCCCACCCCCATCTAACATTCGCTGCGTTCCGGGGTCGCCGAAACAGGTCGGTGGCGCAACATTCAGTCGATCGCCTGGAGAATTTTAGAACAGCTCCTTCTCGCATGCCCCCAATATTAGATGGGGGTGGGGGGGGAGGCGGAGTGTTGAAGTGCACATTTCAATGCTCGCCTGAAGTGATGCAACATTTTGTCGACGTACGGTACGCCCTCGCCAGGGCCAGGGCCCAGTCCATCACGGTGGAATGAGGATGAGGAGGAAGACAATGAGACGGAGGAGGACGAGGATGACGATGCGATAAGGAGAAGGAGGAGGATGAAGAGGATGCGGAGGATCTAAAACAGCACGACGAGGAGGAATTAGGAAGAGGACGCGGGACGCAACCGAACATGAGGTGGGAGAGGAAGAGGACAGGGGACGAGGAGGAGGAGGAGGAGGAGGAGGATCAGGAGGAGGATCAGGGGGGAAGGGGGATAAGGAGGAGGAGGAGAGGGAGAAGGATTGAGACTCAAGATTTCATCGAGGATCGAGGATGGAGGAGGATCGAGTATCGAGGGTCCAGGATCGAAGGAGGATCGAGGTTCGATCGAGGTTCCAGGGTCGAGCGAAGGTGGAGGTTCGATCGAGGATCCTGGTTCGAGGTTCGATCGTCGATCGAGGATCAAGATTTCCTCGAGGATCGATCGACGATCGAGGATCGAGGATCGAGAGTCGAGGATCCAGTTTCAATCCGCGCTCGATGATCGAGCTTCGATCCAGGATCGAATTCCGATCGAGGTCCGAAGTTCGATCCAAGATGGAGGATCGGGGTTGCATCGAGGATCGAGAGTCGAGGATCGAGTTTCGATCCCCGCTCTATGATCGAGTTTCGATCCAGGGTGAGTTTCGATCGAGGTTCAAAGTTGGATCGAATAGCGACGATCGGGATTGGATCGAGGATCCAGGATCCAGATTCGAGGGTCCAAGATCGATCGAGGATAGACGACCGATCGAAGTTGGAGGATCGGTATGAGGGAGGCGGAGGAGGGAGGAGAACGAGGAGCAGGGACTACGAGGAGGGAGGACGAGAAGGGAGGAGGACGAACAAAAATGAGGAGGAGGAGGAGGAGGAGGAGGAGGAGGAGGAGGTGGAGGAGGAGGAGGAGGAGGGAGGAGGGCAGGAAGGACGCCGAGGCGGAGGAGGCATGAGGACGAGGAGGAAGAGCACGAGGAGGAGGAGGAGGAGGAGGAGGAGGAGGAGGAGGAGGAGGAGGAGGAGGAGGAGGGAGGAGGGCGGGAAGGACGCAGAGGGGGAGGAAGCATGATGAGGAGGGAGAGAGGGAGGGAGGGAGGGAGGGACGGATGGAGGCAGGGAGGCAGGGAGGGCGGGGAGGGCGGGGGGAGGGAAAGAGGGAAGGCGGGGGAGAAAGCGATGGGATAGGAGCACGATGGGACGTGTCTGGGTGTCCCCGGGGCCTGACCGCCACCCCCCTGGGGGACGGCCGCGCTCGGGGCCCCCGTCGTCGCCACGGCTGGGTGTTGCTGGCCCGGTACGCAGCGCGCTGCACGGATACCGCCGACACGTAGGCCCAACACGTGAGCTCAAAATGGAGAAAAAAAACGTGAGCTCAAAATGGAGACTGCCTGCTGCTGCCCTTCCTCCTCCCTGGCCCGTGCCCCAGACCACGCGTCGCTGGCAGGCTCTGGGGAAGGGGGGCGATGACGACGAAGACCACGACGACGACGATGACCGCGACGGGGACGCCGCAGTCGAATCCCAGGGAAAGTGAGGACTCTTCCTGGTACTACTTGTGACAGTCAAATGCCGTTCAAAAGACTCTGCGGCGAGGAGGCCTTTCAACTATCTCGACAATCAGACAGAGCAATCCTATGACAAATATCCTGGCTGACGACGACGGCGGGGGCGCCGCAAACCAGCCCAAGGGAAGGTGGGGACTCTTCTCGGCACCACCAGTGACAGTCACATGCCACTCTAAGCACTGGGCGGCGTGGACACAGTTCAAACGAACTCTACAATCAGACAGGGCAATCATATGACTAATGCCCTGGCTGACCACACCTGAAGCAACGACCCGGCAAGTCCGAGTAGCGGTACTCGCCGCGGCCCCTCCGCACAAACCGCTGTTCATGCTCACCGCCTGGTGGGACTGGCTGGCTCCCAGCCCGCCGAGCATCTCGGCCTCTGCCATACCACTCACGCGGCAGGGGTGCAGCGGGGGCTGGGGGCTCATCCCGTACCGCCCAAACCCACTGCGCCCAGCACTTCTTGCACGGCTTGATCTGCGGGCACATGGCGGGGTCAAAGAAGTGCGTCAGCACCATGTACCGCACGCGGCTGTCCATCCGGGCCGTCTCCTTCGGCTGCCGAGGATGCTCTATGGGGCCTGGTGCCGTGCAGAGGATTGGCGAATCGTCCCTGAACATGTAGTTCTTTGCCCCCTTCTCCACCTTCGGCACTGCGATCCTGACGTCCTTCCCCTCGAACAGGTTCTTGGCAGTGGCCCAAGGCATCAACGCAGAGTCCCGCTCGAAGTCGTTCGGGAACAATATTTCGGACCCTGCTATATCAGCCAGCTGATGGGACCCCGTGTCGGGCGGCGTGGCACGCCGGTACACGAGTTCCACGGGCTCGAGCAGGAAGCTCTTCGCCCTGTTCGTCTCCCCCACCAAGACATGGTTGCGCTGCTTGACGCGGCCGAGGTTGAGGGCAAGAAAGACCGCCCTCTGCACTTCGCGCTCGGCGTAGCCGTTGCGCTGGACCACGTCGTCCGCGGCCGCCGCCCACCGCCCACGGTCTCGCGCGCGCAGGGGCCCTCCGCGGCGGCGGCCAGGATCTGCACGCGCGTCAGCTGGCGCCGCGCCGCGGCCGCCTCGGCGCCAGCGAGTCGGCGGACCCGCTCGATGAGCTCGCCAAGGTCTTTCCGCGACAGAACGACCTTCCGCTGTGCCCCGCTGTCCTTCCCAGCCCCAGCACTCGCGCGGCGCAGCACGCCGTCCTCCGCCTTGAGGAGCGCGCGCTGGCGCAGTACGTCGTCCAGGCCGAGCACCGCGAGAGACTCCGCCTCCTGGCGCTCGGCCCCGCCCCCGCGGGCAGCGCGCGCGCCCCAGAGCCCGCGGAGGTGCTCCGGCGGCGCCAGGGGGGCAGCGCGCCCCCGCCGGGGTGTCCTGGGGAGTGCCACCGCGGCGGCGTCGAGCTCTGCCGCGGGCTTCCTGGCCGTGGCGACGTGCACGTCATCGCACATCGCCCGGTGGCACTGGTGCTTGGCCACGTGCACCTGGGGGGCTCGGCCCAGGGCGCAGACCTGCTAGTCTGCACCCTAGTCATCAGGCCGCCCTCGATATGACTCTTAACAAGGTCGAGCGCTGCCTGCCCACCCTCTAGAAGAGGCTGGTTTGGTTTAACCTAATCCTAGACTATTCCATCTGAGCCGGCGGCGCCGCGGCCTAGACAAAAACATATAACAGCTGCCTGCAGACCAGGGTGCAGACTAGGGTGCAGACCAGCTAGTCTGCACCCCAGCCACCCCCGCACGCCGGCGCCTTGAGCTTCTCCACCATCCGCAAGTGGCGCTCCACAGCTTTCCACTTGTGCTCAGCGGCGAACACGCAAGGAGCGTGCAGGTGCGCTTTCCAGCGGCACGCCCGCTCGCTCCAGGCGTGGAGCTCGCGGGCGACGCACCCGCAGGTCGGGCCGCCGTGGAGCGCGTGGGCAGCGTTCGAGTACAAGTGGGCGTACGTCCGCTGGATCGCCGCGTAGAACCCCTGCCGGCCCACGTCGTCGGGCATCTTCATGCTGGGGCCGCCCGCGACCTCGAGCAGCGTGAAGTGGCAGTACTTGGAAGCCACTCGGGGGCCCGCGTGCTCGCAGTCGCCGTCCACGGGGCACTGGGGGCTCGGCCTTGGGGAGGTATGCACAGGGGCGGCGTCGGCTGCGCCAGCGGGCGCGGGGGCCCCCCCCGCGCTGGCGGCGCCTCGGCGAGCGGCTCGGCTGCCCGCGCCAGCGGCGGGGCGCTCTCTGCTGGCTCCTCGCCGGGGGGCCGCTGCCGCGCGCCAGCCGCCTCCCCTGGCGGGCCTCGGGCCTCGCGGGAGCCTTCGGAGCCCTCGCGGGAGACTCTGCGGCGCCAGGCCGCTCGGCGTGCCGCGGGCGCCCGGGCGCCCCTCGCTCGGTTCCCGGCAGCGGCGCGGCGCTCTCGGGTGGCGCAGCGCGGGGCCGCACGCCGCGGGCAGCGGCGT